CCAATCTCTTTTTGGCTTCCATTTGGAGGATCTCTAATCCTAGGGTTTGAGAAGAATTTGGGGTTTTTCATTGCTTTTGAGATAGGGGTTCTTAATTTAAACTTTTCTTGTTCTTTTGTGAATCACTTTTCTTTAATTGTTGCAAAGCATGCTTAATTTTAAGTTAAATGTCTTGAGAATGATATATTTTGTATACTTGGAATCCATACTTATATGCGTTGATGAAAATGGTGTGAAAATCATGCTTAGATGTTGATTTACATGCCTATGGTATTTATTAATTTTCTAGAAGTTGCTAAGAAGAAATATGCTAAATCGTGTAGTGTATGTTTCTTTATGCTCATATTATTGGTGAAACACATGATATACATTTCATAGCATAGGGCATGAAGGAAAAGGGAAGGTGTTTTGAAATAAAAGCAAAAGGGGGATTTTGGGGAGACATTTTGATAAAGTGTTTTGAGAAAACCCGGTCGCCGCGAGATTACTAAAGGGCTGGTGTGTTAATATAACCTAGAGGGAACTAGGGAGATTGCCCTAGCGTGGTTGAGCTCTCTGGGCCTACAATGACGCTGCGGGGGTACCAAAGGTCGGGAACAGTAGTCAATCTTTCTCTCGTGTCGCTGCTGGGTCACCAAAGGGCGAGTTATATTAACAGTTTGTAAAGTGATGGATTTTCCTGAAAATGGGGAGTGACATGCATGACATTGCATTCATGGCATGACATTTAATTATTTTGAACATGGATTTAATATGGTATTTTTACCCTGCTTTGTATAACCCCGTTTCTTATTGATCCATTCATTATTTGGATTCACGGGGCTACAAGAGGTGTATCTTAAGCACTACCTACTGAACAATTTGCTCACCCCATTATTCAACATTTTTCAAGGCTCGGGAAGGAAGTGGCGGATGATATTCCACTACAAGTTTGAGGAAGACTTGAAATTGCAATTCTTCATCTTTTGTATATTTCCTGTTCTTTTGTAGAGTCTTATGATCTTGAAAAGTGTATTTATTTTAGTGAATCATAGTCATGTAATATAATTAAGATACTTGATGATTTTTGGATGTAAATTTGATAACACGTAAGCACTTGTTGTTGAATGGGAAAGGAAATCAAATTTTAATCTATTGTTGAAGTCATTAAACTATGTTTCATTATGTATTGCTGCCGTGAATTCGGATTTTCAGTTCATAACAGGTTCATCATGGGTTTAGCATGCACCACACATAGTCAATATGCATTTTAGTGAGCTTCATTCCAGGATTGCATGTTTCGGCCGACTGACCCTCTTCATCAGCCAACCGAAACCCCATGTTTGGCCGACCAAACCCCTATCATCAGCCGACCGAAACGCCTATAGTGGAAGTCCCGAGAGCTTGTAAACTTCACCCTCATTTAGGCCGACCGACTATGTAGGTCAGCCGGCCGATCACGCCTTGGCAGCTGGCCGATGGAGACCTATCAGCCGGCTGACTGTCCCTTTTACCCTGTAATGTTGACCAGCATTGTAAGCTTTCACCCTTGAGTATTTTGAGCTCTGGAGTGAGAGATAAGTTTGAACACAGGAAATGGAGAGTATGACCTAGTTAACCTCAGGTTCAGGCAAGGACCCGGTAACGGTCCGGATCCACGGATTTGGGTCATTACTAAGTTGGTATCAGAGCAATGGTTCGAAAACTTATAGGACGACGGGTAGAGGCCTACTTAGGATTGCATGGGATGTTGATTGCATTGGTTATGTGACTAATTGCTATTTGTTTATTACATGAAGAAGCTTATTTAACTGCTTATGTACTTACGTGCTTACATGCTATGTCAGAGTGCTTTTTACCTAGTTTTGCATGATAAATGTTGTTGCGGCATCATTTCACGTTGAGTCGTCCACAGTGAGCCTTAGTGTTTTGTCATTGAACCATTTTCTCGTTTTATAGCACGATGTCACAGCGTGAGGAACAAAGAGAAGTTAGCCCTAGGCCGACTAGGGGTGATGTTGGTGAGAGCTCCAGCTCCAATCCGAATGAGCTAAATGATGAGGACACACTTCTTAGGGACTTGATTTCCCCAAGAGTTGTCCACACAAGGAGGGAGAATGTTGAAGCAATCGTAGAAGTGGGTGAAGGTTCTGTGGCACTGGAGTTGAATCGTTTGTTGCAAAGTGCCAGGAGGGCAACGATTATGGCTCAGTCGCAGTCGACACCACAACCTACAATTCAAGTTGAGGAAACACCAGCTCAGAAGCGTCTCAAAATCATTAAGGGATTTTCTCAGTTGATGTCGGTTATGTTTGAGGGCGGTGCGGATCCAATGGTAATACATGACTACATGGATCAAGTTGAAACTCAGTTGACCTCAATGGATGTGACAGAGGATCACTTGAAGATCATCCTAGCAACTTACAAGTTTGCCAATGATGCTAAGCTTTGGTGGAAATTAGTTACGAATCGGCATAAGGTAGAAGAAATGAGTTGGGAAAAGTTCAAAGAGCTGTTTTACGAGAAGTATTTTCCGATTTCCAAAAGATGGGAGCTAAAAGACCAGTTTCTTGACCTTATCCAAGGCAATATGTTCGTGGCGAAGTATGAGAACAAGTTCACTTCACTCTCTCGCTTTGCTCCGGAAATAGTGAGAGATGAAGTTGACAAGACTCGGAAGTTTATTTCCGGTCTTCATGACAGAATGAAACTGTTGATAACGGCACAATTTATCAAGGTTTATTCTGAAGCAGTAGAGAGAGCCTTGATGCTTAAGGCTGATATTAAAGATAAGGATGCAAAAAGGGAGCAGTGGAAGTCCCGAGAACTTGTAAACTTCACCCTCGTTTCGGCCAACCGACAATGTAGGTCAGTCGGTCAATCACGCCTTGGCAGCCGGCCGATGGAGACCTATCAGCCGGCTGATTGTCCCTTTTGACCTGTAATGTTGACCAGCATTGTAAGCTTACACCTTTGAGTATTTTGAGCTCCGGAGTGAGACTTATGATAGGTTTGAACATAGGAAATGGAGAGTATGACCTAGTTAACCTCGGGTTCGGGCAAGGACCAGGTAACGGTTCGGATCCACGGATTTGGGTCGTTACAATTAACCCTTCTTGGAGTATGTATGTCATACTCCTCATCCTCAGATGAACTGTTTAAGCTTTGTAGGTCATCACTTGGTGCATAGGTTAAATCAATGTCAGAATAATTGAAGTCTACTGCCTGTAGCTCAAACTGCACCTCAAGATTACCATCATCATGAGCCTCAACATTTGCCACATCAGGATTAGCATCATCATGACCATCAGTATCCAAATCACTACTGCCATCTGCCACATCAGTCTCAATGTCACTACTTCCATTTGTCACATCTTGTTCCATCTCAGTATTGTCATTTGCCACATCAGTTTCATCTCACTAATTCCATTTGCCACATCATGCTCCATCTCAGTATTGTAATTTGCCACATCATCATTAACCACCGGTAGGTCAACATTACCATTTACAACCTCATATGCACAATCTAAGATTTCATCTTCCCACTCTGAATGATCCTCTTCCTCATTTACAGTGTCCATATCTTCAATAAATGTAGTGTTGGGGGAAATTATCAATATTTTAATTAAACTGTATTGCCTATGACAGTTACTCATAGCCAATATATCTTCATCTCCAACTATCAGTCTTAGTCCTTCATCAGTGGGGACCATTGGATTCCTAAAATATACTTCACTATTTTTGTCAAACCCAAACTCCTTCAGTTTCTTAGTCATATTAAAATAACTCAAGTAGTCCAAATCTACACCCTCAACCAAAGTTACACTGCCACCTGTATATGTCTTAAGATGTGTAGTCTCAAAATACCCTCCATAATGCACTTCCAATGTAACTAACCTGGCCATTATCTGTTGACCAGAAGTAATTTACAAAATTAAACAATAATATTATATTAGTATACAATAAACAACACAACATGCAAAGGAATAACAGTCTTGAAAAGAAAAAAAACAAAGGGAAAAAAAAAAAAAATCACATAGGGGACAACATTTAGAAAAACACAATACATATACATATATAATAAGCACAAAAACACAAGAAAAAGACAAACATAGTGGGGTCATCATACTTTAATGAAGAAAAAACAATTTTTATGACCATACCAAACTCTTAAAAGCCAACACAACATGCAAAGGCAGTGTTTATGGGTACAGAAATTGATTAATGTATACAAAAAACACACTGGCATCACAAGTTCTCAATTATTGTGGTCACAAAGCATGAAAAAAATTTAATATTATTTCAAAAACCCAAATTGGAATGGAAGTTACTATGTTGAACCCTATCAACAACCACACCACAAAATAAGTATCTTTACATGCAAAAATCATAATTATTGTTCAAACTTACATAATAAATAAATAAATAAATAAATAAACAAGGTTTGTTACATAAATCACTTACGATTTTGTTCTCTACTTCAACTTCAGAGTTCTTCAAGGAAATATTTCGATTACAACCCAATATTCCTTCAATGTTCAACACAAACCACCGTATAACCCTAGAAATCGAAGATCAGTGACGCAAACCCTAGAAATCAAAGATCAGTGACGTAAACCCTAATCGCCCCTCATCGCTTTCTAACTGCGTACACAAATGGAATGAGGAACACTTAACCAAATCTCGTCAAACAAGACTTTACAACTACTAAGGGTATAAACGACATTTTGCATTTTCATGTTTTTTTATTTTTTCTAAAATGATAATTATACGGGGCATATATGTAATTGCACTTATATATATATCATCGGAAAGAGGAATCCGGCGTCAAGGGGCAATATACTTCATTTCAGAACTACTATGACTGAGTTGCTCACTTTTTTATTTAAGAGGAATATTTAACTAGATGGAGTAAACCTAAGGGGGTATTTTACATTTTTGCCTTTTCATAATCTATCAACTTTTGATTCCATACTCTTACCCTCTTGTCATGAATATGAGATCACTATTTATCTTTTTCCTTTGAATTAGCCTATATATAATTTCTGCGTGCCCTAGAATTAATGTCATCCAGAATAAATACAAGAAAAAAGAAAAAGAAAAAAAGAAAAGGAAAATGAAATTTGATGTACTACGTAATTTTAATTAGTCAGGGGAAATTATACTCTTCCGGTTGTCCTACATTAATGCCTAACTGCACTTGCGCGCCATTTCCTCTCTCTCTCCTCTGCGGTATTTCCTCTTTCTCCTTCTATCTTTCTCCGTTTCTCTCTTAACAGAGGTACATACATACACTCAGGAAGAGAAAACCTAGAATCTGACATTACCCTCTTTTAGGCCCCATTAATGGACACCGACGTCGCCGAGGTGCCCGCCGACGATGGATCTACCGTCGCCGAACCTCCCTCTGATCCCTCTGCTGCCAAGAAATCCAAGCGATTCGAGATGAAAAAATGGAGTGCCGTCGCTCTGTGGTCTTGGGGTCCGTATATATATATATATATATATATATATATATATATATATTATTGTAATTATAGGAATATGTAACCATGCGTTCGTTTTTGTGTGTGAATAGTTTGAAATTTATTGTGTATTTTGTGATACATTGTGAATTGGAGTTGATTTGTGTATCGGTTGCTGCAGATATTGTTGTGGATAACTGTGCAATTTGTAGGAACCATATCATGGATCTCTGTAAGAGCTTTTGGTTGTGTTATTTTGTGTAGGTTGTTCTTCATTGTTATTGCATATGCTGTGTGATTTGAATGTGTGTTGATTTTGATTAGGCATTGAGTGCCAAGCTAATCAAGCTAGTGCGAGCAGCGAGGAGTGCACCGTTGCTTGGGGTACGTGCTCTCTTAAACCACAACCCTAATTAATCCAATTGAAACTTACGATTATGAAATTTATATAATATATTCAATAGATTTGTTTGATTTGTGAAACCTTACAGTCTCTTTCCAAATATTGCAATGATCATGGATAGGCTTGTTTCTAGCTGATCTTGTTACATTTGATTAAGGGGTCTTTTTGTGTTACCATAATTCCTTTTGTTATAAAATCAGAATAGTAACCGTTTTTCTTTTTCTTTTTCTTTTTCTTTTCCTTTTCTTGTTACATTTGATTAAGAGGTTCCTTTTAAGTTTTAACTAATGATTTTTTTTGTATATATATATATTTTATAAAAATCATACATAATTCATTGGTTTAACTAGTTGGTCCAAATGATGATATTAAGACTATAAAATAAGATTACATGCAGAAAACAAAAAAAATTCCAATGCTCATTGATATAATTATGTGGTAAGATGGAAATCATGGTCTGTGGCCTGACAAAGGACATTCCCCTGATTAGACCTTCATAGCATCGAAATATATGCAGAACTCTCATTTGGAATTAAGGGATTATATATGTGGCGTTGTTTATGTATATTGGCCCCACTGATTCAAGGACGAGTTCCAACTTTCAGTAGTTCAGGCTGTTCAGCTGCCTCATCTAGTTTGAACTTTGAAGCCCTGTGGTATAGTTGGGGGTGATATAATTTAGTTATGGAGTTTCGCATGTCTAACATATAAGTGCTGTCATGGCTACTACTACTTTTCCAATGTTCTACAATACTGTTAGTTAACCCATGTTCTATTTATGATATGGTTGGCTCCTAGGTCTTTCGTTTACAGTTAAGTTCATACTGATGTGGTTATGTGAATGACATTGCTGGATACGGCATAGTTATGGAGTTTGGCATGTCTAACATATAGGTGCTGTCATGGCTACTACTACTTTTCCAATGTTCTACAGTACTGTTAGTTCTCCGATGTTCTATTTATGATATGGTTGGCTCCTAGGTCTTTCGATTACAGTTAAGTTCATACTGATGTGGTTATGCGAATGACATTGCTGGTTACTGCATAGTATTTGTGTTCATTCAATTGATGTCTTTAACATTTGCAGTTTTGTTATCTTATTGGTTTGATTTTTTATTATGAATCAGGGTTGGACCCATAAACTTTTGTTTGGGGGGCCAAACTAGTTCTATCTACTTTAAAATTTAAAAGTTAGTTGTGAAGATTTTTTTATTAGTATTATATATGTATATTAACATGTGTATTAATATATTATAATGGGCTTTATTTTTCTATTCAGATTTGGGCTTATTCTTCCCAGTATTACGTGGATCACACACACACAAACATTTATTCTTCTTTCCTCTCAATTTTTGAAAATCCAAGCAAATCTTATAATGCATAATTTTTTTGCCCATTCCATAAAAGAATAATAGGACATGTAAGATATGCACGACATAACATTTGGTTCAGAATTCCAAAAACCAGGAGACTTATTCACTGTATTAATACTTCAAGTTTTTATTTATTGTCAGCAAGTGAAAGAATGGCATCTTGGGCTTTTGTTTCCTGTTGCAAGAGCGTGCATTCGATTAAACCTTGTCAATCTGATATTGGCCCTTAAGTTTACTTGGGTTTCAGAAAATTTGGGGACTTTTGTGATTGTTCACCTTATTCAACTGACTTGGTAGAAAGTTTTTTTGTGTTTTGGCTAGTCTACAAGTCATTCTGGTGACCTTCTATCGCTGTGAGTTTATAGTTGGTAGTTGTACCCGTGATGGTTGGTAACTCCATTAGGTTGCTATTGTTCATAATCATAAGGTTGAAAGCTATGATAATATTGTAACCACAATCACTGACGATGAATTGTTTCGCAAACCTTTTTTTTTTTTTTTTTCTTGATGGACTTGAGGGCCAATAGCATATCAGAATTGCTGCTTCTATTGACAGCAGTTCATCATGTCTTTAGTGTTTATACAGGACAGGGTGAAGTGGATTTTAACCTGTTCAGTGCAATCCTCAACCAAATAATCCAACTTTGTCTGAAAAACAGGGGACCAAAGTTGGAGTTGTACTTTGGGATGATCTTCTTCCTCTGTAATGTCCTCAATACATGAAATGAACCCATTTTCTTGTTAACTTTGATCTTAGGGTGTTTCTGTTGCATGGTTTGGTTCATAGTACTTTCTTCGTTTTCTGAATTATCTTTTATGGCTTAAATCAAGCTCATTTCTTATATCACAGGTGTGTGTAATCATGCCTTCCATTTCCATTGCATCAGCCGATGGCTCAAAACCCGTCAAGTGTGCCCACTAGGTATTGTATTACAGCAATCTTTTCATATCTTAATTGACAATGCACTGCATATCTAAATTCTATAACTTTCTAATGTGTCATCTTACTTCTGCAGATAACAGTGAGTGGGAATTTCAGAAGTATGGTCACTAGAGTTTGCATTAGGAAGCAGCAGTGGAGCAGTTCGAGACCTTGCATATTAATGGTACTTGAAGTGGGAGAGATTGCATGAAACTCTCTAGAGCCACTTGCTTCACTATTATGGTTAAATAAAGTGTATAAACTTTTTTGAATAAACAAAGATCAAGATCTCGAAATTTTGGATATATTAATATTCTTTCCTTCTACAGCATTCAAATGTCCAACTGTTTAAACAGCTCCAAACGATTTGGTATCAGAACAGGTATTATTTTTATATCAATATCATCGGCACCTCCCTTCAGAATGAGAGGGAATGGAGGGGTTCAAACAAGTCCATGTATTGTAATTATCAGATGGTGGTAAGGTTGAGTTTATGATATTGTTAAGGATTGACTCTTCTAAAAGCTTCATCTGTTAGAGACCGTGTGAAACTAATATTGATATAAAGTTATAAACGACACTATTTACATAAAATAATCTCTCAGTTTCAAGCAACTTACATCACACTAGTGGCCCAACATACAAAATAAAATTTTAGCGCAAGACATTAGAAGTCTATTCTTCACAGCCTTCTATCAACAATAACAATTATGGGACGACTGGTTTTGAATAAAATAGAACAAATACAGTTCTGAAAATCTTCTCTGAGCAAATTAATCGACTAGAAATTTGCATTGAGAGCCTTTATACCGAGATCCATTTCATTATATATATATTTTTCTGAAGTGGAATTTCAAATTTTGGGATCATGTAATGCAAAAATAGTATATCATTAAACATTCAAAGTTCATATCTACAACTCAAGAGAAAAACGAAGTTCACATCTTTCAAGTTCATATCTACAACTCAAGAGAAAAACAAAGTTGACATCTTTTCATAGTGATGATATAAAGCATAATCCCAAATCCACTGCTACCAACCATGTCTCAATCCTCATATGCTTCCGAACACAACAATTACTCGTGCAAATGTAATGCAACCCCAAGCCCATGGGCCCCCAACCCATAGACTCATCTTGAAACAACAGAGCCGCACGCCTCGTAATGTGGGCTTCTCACATGATGGGTCCCAGAACCATGGGCCCCCAACCCATAGGTACTCATATTGAAACCACAGAGCCCTGACGCCACGTAATGGCAATTGGGCTTCTCACATGATGTGTCCCATCAGTCCACTCAATTGACCCAAATCCCTTGGAAGCAACAACACTCAACTGGCTAGAAGAAACTGCAACACTAGTAAATGTGATCTCATAAGACAGCGTTTGATTCTCTGCACTAAACATAAGCTTACTTGGTGTGACGCTGATCTCAACGGACGGTGGCGATTTCACAATCAAAGCATAACCCACGTTAACTGAAGGCCCCACGTTTTTTACCACCCTCTTATATTTAACTACTTTTTTGTTGGAATCAAACACTACCGAGAAAGATGGATAGTTCAGATCGCCGGGTGTAGCGAGGCTCTGTGCACGGCAATCCACAGTAGCAGGCCCTCTCACAAAAACACCTATCCGATCGGAATCATATCCAATGGCACAGAGGAAGGCCACGTAGTCACTAACTTCCATATCGTACACCAATCCAGGATCAAGGGCTCCATTGGGATCCACGTGTCCTGCTCCGTGAATGAACGGTGATGATTCTTCTCCAGTGGCAAGGTCCGTAATATTTCTACCAGAGTTGTCCACATTATAAGCTGTTGTCATGAGAGCTGATTTGATCATCGCTGGGCTCCACTTGGGATAAACTTTTCGAAGCAAAGCAGCCAATCCGCTCACATGAGGACATGACATGGACGTACCTGAAATTATATTAAAATCCACACGTCTCGGGTCAATTTCCAGATCGGTCGGGCCGGTGAACCCGGTCCAACCAGCCAAGATATTCACTCCGGGTGCAATCACATCCGGTTTCAGAATCTCCGCCGTGAGATGGTTTGGACCGCGGCTCGAGAACGCTGCCACCTTCGGAGCCGGCGGCGAAGTTCCGATTACCGTGCCTCGGAAGACGATCGTCGCCGTCGGTGACGGATCGGAGCTGACGTACTCTCTGATCTTATCGGCGGCAGTTGAACCTACCATCGTTGCGGGAATTAGATGCGAATCGGCGATGAGCTCTTCACCACTCTCAGCCGTGTTCGCCATTATCATTCCGACACCGCCGGCAAGTTTCACGGCGCTTCCCTTCGCTACTCTCGCATTGCCTCCACGATCGCAGACAACGATCTTACCGGTGACTTTTGAAGAATTAAGTCTTCCTTCGTAACAGTATCTGTTTCCACAATCTCCGGCGTAAACCAACGGAATCTTCGAGTTACCGAGCAGATCACCGGAGTATAAGGACACGCCGCCAAAGGTACTATCGTCGCCTAGTACAACATCCGCTGGAAATTCTCGATCGATCGTCGAAGCACCTACAGTGAGGATCCACGGAGCGATGTTCACGGCTGTGTACGGATCCGGACCGGAGTTTCCGGCGGAGCATGAGACGAGAACGCCGTGTTGTGCAGCTCCAAACGATCCGATCGCGATGGAATCGTGATCGTACTGTGGAGCATATCCACTGGCTCCCACAGAGAGAGAAATGACGTGAACACCGTCGGCAATCGCCTGATCCATCGCAGCGAGAATATCCGAATCGTAGCAACCTGAGCCCCAACAGATCTTGTAAACAGCAATTCTCGCCTTGATCGCCATTCCTCTCGCTTCTCCTCGCGCGTACTGAAAGAAACTAGCATTTGCAACCACAGATCCAGCCGCTGTTGAAGATGTATGTGTTCCATGACCTTCTGTATCTCTCGGAGATTTTGATTCTACGGATTCATCCATAGGCCTTCCAAGTCCTGCTTCATAGCCTTTATAGAACGCTCTGGCACCTATGATTTTCCGATTACACGCCGAAGAAGGGAAATCCGGTGAGCTCTCGCAAGTGCCTTTCCAATTGGAGGGAATCGGGGAGAGGCCTTCGTCGGAAAAGCTTGGCCTTTCCGGCCAAATCCCGGTGTCTAGAACTCCAACGATCACGTCGTCGGCGTAATCGGAGTTAGGCCAGAGGCCGGACACATCGGTGAGGCCGAGGAATTGAGGAGTGCGAGTGGTGTGGATCTGGCGGACGCGGTCGGGGAGGATGGAGAGTACGCCGGGGATGCGGCGGAGCTCCGCCGCCTGAGAAGCGGTGAGGCGGGCGGAGAAGCCGTTGACGGCGGTGTCATATGTGTATAAGAGCTTGGAGGGGTGGTGAGAGGAAGAGGAAAGTGATCGGAGGATGGAGGAGTACCAGTGATGATGGGTGGTGAATGTCTTGGGCTTGTGTGATCTGGACACGTGGATTATGAAGGTCTCTGGAAGGTCTGATGAATCAGCTGGGTTTGAGAATGTTGCAGAGACAAGAGACAGGAAGAAGACGAGGACCAAGGAGAGAGAGGAAAGAATGGAGATTGAATTTTCCTTCTTCATTTTGCTATGAAATTGGGGGAAAAACTGAATGATGTCTGAATAATAAAGAGAAAAAGGCTAAAGAAAGGTTGGGGACCGTAAGAGACCACGTGCGGGTTTATGGTTGGATGAGATTTGCTATCTATTTGCATAAATAAAATAAAATAAAAAGTCTTTTTTCATGCTTTTTGTTTTGTAAAGAAGCGAAACTAGCAAACGGTGGAAATTAAATCTCTCTTGTGAAGATTGTTTGATTCATCATAAGTAGGTGCAACCGTGCAAGTAGTGACAAAAAAGTTTCAATGAGGAAGGTAGTACGTGAGGATATCGGAGCGGAACCTTGGGTTCATATATATACATTGACGAGTTTTTATATGCAAAGGACAAGAACTGTAATTACAATAGTGTGCTAGGTTTCAATAATATATACAGGACATTTTTATTATTATTATTAATATATTATTTTTTTTTAACAAAATTAAAAATTAAATTATTAAATACATAAAGTTGAAATTTGATATTTTAAAATTTATTTCTAATTCATTGGATCATTGAGACATCTGCATCCACACGGACATGATACTTTTAGAATCACGTTAAATATATATAACTTTTTAAAATTTTAAAAAATGAGCAAAGTAGATCTTATAATATTAATATTATATACATTTTTAGGCTATAAAATTTTAAAAATATCTATGTTTTTGGATAATGCCTTTTTATATATATATACACACACACACCCTTAACCGAAAAAAGAAACACTTTTGTCATTTCATATTTAATTAATTTTTTTACTTATTTTTTATTTTAATTTAAAGGGACACTTTAAGCTTTCAACAGTCAAGTTATTGTATACCATATGGGTATTTTTTGCTAGTCAAGTCAAGAAAAGAAAGTGCAATGTGGAAATCCCCCCAGCCTTCTGTTACCCAACTCCAATCTTTGCCTAGAATTCCATAGATCTATTTATATATCTATTGGGTGATAGAATTATAAATCTTAATTTATTTTTAATTTATATACTAAGAGTTTATTTGAAATAATTTAGAAAATAAAATTATGTTATTATTGTAATAATTTTTATATCATATATATCATTATTCCACTACTCTGTTGTAATAATGTTTTTTATTTTAAATGAATAGGTATCAATTTATCATATGCTTGCTTATAATTATATGTTGAGTATCATGAAATGTGTTCATATTATTTTTAAAATTGTTGGGTAGACTTGTGTTAAAAATGTCAGAAAGTATCGGTCATAGTGTGTTTGAGAAGTGTCGATGAAGTGCAGACAAAATATCAAAAATAATAATTTTATTTGTGAATACATATAACGTGAAGGGTTGGCCACCTGTGACATTGGACACGAATACGGCTCTTCGTAGAAGTAAGCTGCACTTTCTATCCCTTAATCCATGGACCCAAACCATGAAACATACCCGTTCTCATGGACTAAGTTGATTAGAAGGCACATTTCTTGGGTTGCTTATTTGGGAAGCAGGCAGGGTTTTTATTTGCTTATTTGTCAGTATCTGTTTAAATAATTTTGTTACATTTGTCCCATCAAATTCCATTGTCACATAGCTTGGCAAATAAACAAACAATCCTGTTACAATCAAGGTTCAAGAGGTGTTTTAAATTATGTAAGAAGATTATGGATGGGTGAGAAACTATTCGATTTGTGGTATATATATATATATATATAAAAATATTTAGTGATATTTTAGTAAGAGATCAAGTTGGAGAACTAAAATCATTCTAGTGAAATATAATAGTTCAGACATTTTAATGTGATGGATCAAGTTGGAGACCAATAGCCATAATGTAGAACAGAGGATGATAGATATCTTGCAGACTCGAAAAGTTGTGTTGAATGCAGGCCCAAAAATTTGAGGAAGAGAATAATGCCCAAAAACTAGTAACCATTTTATATAACCATATATATATATATATATATATATATATTGTAACAGATTGTTGTTGTCACCATACTTCGCGCCTTCAATTGTTAGATTGATCATAATATGTTTAATAAAAGCATATATATATATTCACTCTTAAGAGTGCCTGATTGTTTTGACTCTTGCCTGCCAAATCTGCTCTCTCTTTCTCTTGAAGTGTTATTGTGACTTTTAACGCTTTGATAACTTAGCAATTTTTCAAATCATAAAACAAAAGGTGAGAAGGTTTCAATGTAAAATTCTTCATTTGAAAACAGGCATTTCATTTTATATAATCATCTCAAGAAAGAATGTTTTAAATTTAATTTAAAAGAAAACTTGGAATGATCATATCCATTTATAAACTGAAATACTACTCAAAAGGTGTATTATTGCAATATAAACTGAGATACACACAACCTTTCAAAAACAAAAAAATATTGAGAAACACCCAAACATGCCATACAACACGTTTTATCTCCAAGTCGCCCATACAAGCAGCTAAAGTTAAATGATAAGATTAATGATAAAAAGTATATGTAACTTATATATTTTTTATTGTCTCTCTTCCTCCAACTCCAAAACAACCTGATTTGGAAGACAAGGGGTAGTGGATCTTCTTAGCAGCTTGGCTGACAGAGACTTATAAAATTACTTAGAAAGTTAAATAATTAACCATTCTAAATAAACAAAATCTTAGCAACCCTAAGAAGCAACTAGGCTCACCATCACCAATGATTTAAATGGCTTGTTTTCCTTGTTTTCCTAGAAAAGTTGCTTACCTAACCTAGTAATATATGTAATAATGTATTTGTATGTGTGTGTATATATATATATCTAGAGAGAGAGAGAGAGAGATAGAGAAAGAGAGTAATATCCATTTTGGCTTGTTGCCAACATCAATAAAAAAACACAAACAGCACCATGATTAACCATGTTGTCATTTTCTCGGAGAATTGAGAATGACCACCATTAGCTTATGACTGTTGATGACTGCGTGTATATTTTACAAGACCATATGTTTTCAGTTGTGGGCCTATGACTATATATTCTCGGAATCTGAAGTAGTTCAGGCCACAAGTTCAGGCCCAATATGGCCAAACGAGTGAAGAAGCTTAATTACAAAAGAAGCTACAATTGGATTGGACGAGTCCAGAAGAAAAACAATGAAGTGGGGCTGGGTAGGGTAGGACCCACATACTGGATTCTTTATAATTCAATTGATGTGTAAGTAGATGAGCCAAGCAAAAGCCTGCCCCACTCAGTGTTTGAAACCTCTGATGCAGGAAGCTTCTTTTTGGCAGAGCTTCAATACATTCAACTGTGCTCTTCTTATGCTTACAGGGTTTGTTACAACTCAGAACCATCGTGCTGCATTGTTTGTACTTAGATCACACACACATTTATTCTGCAATGAACCCTACCTTTATCCTCATCCAAAAAGGAGGAGAAAAAATTATCAACACTTTGTACGCATCCAAAGTGGAAGAATCAAAATATTTCAAACTTTTTTGGTTGCATTATCCAATAGTACCATTACACTAATTTTATTTTGTTTTGGTTCTTAGTCTTCGGTATTTTTTTATGCAAAAAAATAAAAAAATAAAAAAGATTGATGTCAAATTTATGTCATTCATGGTAATGAAATTTCAAAGTTATGTCATGAAGTTGACAATAAAAAATGAATTCGGCTTGAAGGAAAAAACCTTTATTTTACCCATTCAGGTCAGTCCTAAATATATCACATTATGAATACGTTTCTCATTAATTATTCAATGAAAGAAAAATAAATAATTGTATGCCCTATTCCTCAATAATCAATGTTTGGACATTTAGGCTTCCATCACTAATATTAAAAGACAACTAAAAGTCTGGAATCCAACCAAGTGCAGAAAAAATATATATGTTTTATTCTTTTAGAAGCCACTTGACAAATCTATCCTGTATTGTATGTAGAGAATCTAAAAAGAGAACATTTGAGATACCCAAACCAGACTTAAAATTTGAGGAATAAATTTATATAAAATATGCCAACTTACACACAAATCACATGACAACTCCACAACAATTCATCCAAAATTTATGTCAATTCAAAATCTACTTTTCCATAAATCTTTGCTTTAATAAAGCAAAAACCCTTAAAAGTAAATTTATTTTTAATTTTTTTCCTTCCTGACAAAATAAACAAACCCTATTTAGTTTTCAATGGCCTCTTTGATCTTAAATTGGATTTCTCATTCCAGTCATTATATGTATATAATAGTAATATATCTTAAAAGAATGTATGCAAATATTAACATAAAAAAAAATATATATATATTGGAAAAAACCGAAATATAAAGGAAAATTGTTCTGTACACTTGAGAAACTTAAGTTAAGTTAAGCATCTAAAGTTTTTATTCCTAATTTTTTGTTCCTGCAATTGAATTGAAGAAACAGAAACTGTTCTATCTCTATTTCCTACTTTTCAATCCTTACCTTCATTCTTCTCATGACGCGAGGATGAATTCACCAGAGTAGGAAAACAACTTTCCGATCGAGAAAGAACAGCACGACGATTCATCGGACTGCTCGGCAAAGACCTGATTGATCTCGGAGAATCAAGACTTCGCCTGAGCAAATGCTTAATGGCAGAGATCAAATGAACCGTCGGATTCGAAGGCGGTTCCAACTTCTTGCAGAAGTTCATGTGCTGAGTTACGGCCTCTTCGGTGCTGATCAAACTCTCGCATCTAACGATTTCGTCTTTCACCGCCTCCGAGCACAGTCCGCAGATCCATTTGCCATGGTATCGCTCCCGAACTCGGTCTATGTACGCCAGAGTACACTCCTCCGTCAATCCGCAACAGTCGCATCTCGCCGACTCCACTTCGGTTTGAGTCGTCGCCGCCTTCGACGCCACAGGTTGGGATTCTGTCGCAGATATCACCATTGAATCGCTACAAACCGTTGCAGACATCGCCAAAAACCTACAAAATTCATTAAAGCTCAATGAAACAGAATTGTTATAAAACTCATTTGCGATTTCTAAACAGAACATCAAATCAAACAAACCAAAATTATGATCAAAAGTAAAACAGATTCATTATAATTACCAGAATGCTTCGGTATGTTCTCTGTATCTCTTCGGTTCTGCAACTTTGAATATATAAAATCTACTACTTATCTCTCTTTTTCCCACTCTCCTTCTTCAACCTCTGCTTCTTCAGGAATGAAAAATTTAAAAATCAGAGACATTTTACAGAAAAGACTTTTTTTTTTTTTTTCAAACACTCTTTTAAATATCAAAATCAGTGAAGTTTATACTATGCTTTACAGAGAGAAACAGTATTGTTTCTATTCAGAAACACAAAAACAGAGATAGCTTTTTGATTCTCCTCCACAAATTATACACTCGTTTAGCATAGACTTCTAGAGAGAGAAAATATAGAGAGAGAGGGGAGGGTTTAGGGGGAGGTGAGAGAATGAGGTGCTCCGTTTTTGTAAGGAAGAGCAGAGGCGAAGAGGATGGCTCTAATGATTGGCGATTTGAAGAGTGGAACTGTGACATGGTCCACGTCAGCAATCAGAGCTGGCATTCAATCTCGACCGTTGATGGCGGGATTGCCAGTTGTGCTTATCCTGTCCCCAGAAGAAGACTTGTATGTAAATGTGTTGTTTGGAAGCTTTTCTTTTTGTCCTTTTGTGTCATTAACAACCAATTGTAGAGTTCCATGTGTAATCCACCGACGTGCACGTCCAATACTCCAGCTCAACATTTCTTCTAATTTGAAGTTACTGCTCGTACTATTCTACTTAATTGACCAGTTAATTGTGGTAAGTAAATAAATTAGCACTAATCACGGTTACGTACTTCATCAACCAATGTGGAATGAGATGACAAGAGAGAATCCAAAAGATTTTGATACTACATATAATGAATTATGAAAGAAAATCATTAATGCTACATTTGTTTGGAATAAAAATTAGTGGTTTGAATTGTTTTTTTAAATATACTTACATATCTACTTACTCTTTTTAGAGACTTAAGCCTTTAATTTTTTTACTTTAGAAGAAAAGAAAATATCGGTAGACCACACCACATTTGGTGAATTAGTGGTTTAAATTTAAATTTCAAAAAAAATTAATTAAAGTTTTTTAATTTAAAATTTAAAGCACCGAATGCTCTGAAAATTTAATTCAAACAATACATAACTAATTTAAGAAATTAGAATCCTTTTTGATACATTTTGTTTGTTGTATTATTTTACGTACAAATTTTTATGACATTGTATTTGTTAAATTAAATCAGGATTCGCTAGTGTGCGGAGGACTGCATTAAAATGTTTTGATGTTCAAGATATATCAAATCTTAACAGGATTTTAAGAACTAACATTGTTTTTAATATACAAAAAAATAAAGAAATCCTTTCAAATGGAATTGAATTGTGGGTAAATTTTAGGCTCCGTTTGTTTCGACGTAAAATATTCTTTTATTTTTCTTTGTCGATATTCGGCAAAGTTCTATATTAAGGTTAAGGACGGAACATGTAAAATAACTTGTTGAAAATTGATAGATAAATTATTTTTATTAAATTTTAATATATATATATATATATTTTTTTTTCTAAATATTTACAATAATCAAATACAAAAAATAAAAAAATATTTTTAAAAAATATTTTCCGTCCAAATAATCAGAGCCTTAGTTTTATTTTGGTTTGATATGGTTTGGTCAAGGTGAAATATGGATTCTGTACTGTAATTTAGCCACTTTCTAAAGTAAATCGATCTCCAACAAGGAATATAACCCACCACTTATGTGTAGTAAAGTAGCAGCTGATTAGTAATTTGACTGCCAATCACATTCATATATGGTCACTATCTAATAATGGTGATGGGCCAAGCACCACAGAGAGAGCAATTATTGCACAGAGTATGTGAAAGGGACCCCCACTATTGAAACCTTCATTAATAGATTTACATGACACGTAACCTAGGCTATGTGGCATCATTGCCATTATTTTATCACAAAAAGGCAATCTTCAATGTGGGGTCCTTTAGTAGGCCTAGGCATGTTCATATGACCAAATTAATTACATCCCAAACTCATGGATTTTTCACTTTCTCATACGCTAGTTATCCGAGGAACTAAAAACAAAGTCTAGGTCAAATTTTAAATAGAAATTAAAATAGTGTCTTCATGTAATGATAAAATTGCGTATTATTTGACTTGAGAGGTTTGTATTAAGTTAACCAAAATTCATCTTCACCCATATACAACCAAAATATATGACATTTGAAAACAATAATACACTTCTATTCATGCAATAAACCAGTGCTAGGCACATCTACTGCCAAACACGCCTCGTTTAGGTAGTATTCATCAAATTTGCAAGTATTGCGCGTAGGACGTGAGTGTTAGTTTCATAGTCAACGCAAACTTGATTGGCTAAAAAAGGTTATCATTAAGTATGGGTTTCTATTAATGGAATATGCTAAAATATCTCTAATTACTAATTATCTTGAGTGTGTAGAAGGATGATGGTGATAAGTCCCCTCTTAATCTTGGATCTAATAAAAATCTAACAATAATGGAAAATGTTAAAATGTCAAGCGCAAAGTGACAAGGACTAAATTTCAATTAAAGTTAAACACTTAAGTCATACAATTTTTTTTTTTTTTTTTTTTTTTTTTTCGAAGCTTTCACTTGGCGATCTCGTATTTTGTCTCTCCCTCTCACCTTCAGTGATGTAAGTTGGACCGAGTACAAATATAATAATCATTAATTATTTTAAAAGCAGTGATTACTCTAAACTCAACCCTTAATTTTAGAAAAACGCTATACTTCACTAATTTTAATTTATGATTTTATCTTAAATTAGAAGACTGCTTAGTTATCAACTTATTTGACTGCTTTATATATTTTAAAAGTAATTTTTTTAATATAGAAAAAATCTTAATATAGAAAAGAGAAAAAAATTAGTAAAACTTATTATTATAGACTCCAAACCCTAAAACTTATGAATATAACTTAATAACTTGAATTCAATCTTGTCCGTATATATTTTATTTTGGGAGACTCTTTTTATTAAATCTTCAAATAATTAAACTAAAAGTTACAGTTTTTTTTTATCATGAATGAATGAGTGATCTCTTTACGATGAATAAGAACCCTAATTTACATAATTAACTTAAAAAATTTTATAATTATATTTTGATTTGGTATTTTCTAATTATGATTAAAAATTTTATAATTATATTTTGATTTGGTATTTTCTAATTATGATTAAGTTTTAGAGATATACTCAACAAATTAAGGTTCCTATTTATCAAAAAGAGATCAATTAATTCATAGCAAAAATTTGTAACTTCTAGTTTTAATTATTTAAAGATTTAATAAAAAGAGTTCCCCAAAGGAAGATATATAATTGAATTCAAATTATTAATTTATATCAAGATTTGGATTCAATAATTATAACTTTTACTATTTTTTTTCTCTCATTTCTATATTAAGATCTTTCCTATATTAAAAAATTACTTTTAAAACACACAAAATAGTCCAAAAATAAAAAAATAAAATAAAAAAAAAAGAAAAAGAAAAATTAAGCAACCATGTAGTTTAAGATAAAATCACAAATTAAAATTCATGAAATATAGCATTTTCCTAAATTTATATGTTAATGTATTTAAATTCTTATCCCCTTATCTATGGATGGCAATTTGACCCGCCCCGCGGTTACCCACCCCACCCAGTCCCTTTTTTTGCGATTTTGGAGGACCGTTTTACTTATTTGGGCGGGGATGGTTTGATGTAATTAAAACCTGCACGGGTTTGGTGTGGGGGCAGGGAAGGTCGCCCCACACCGCCCTGCCCCTTTTAGATAGATAAATTACTTAAGTACCCTTATTTCATTAGTATATATATTTTTCGCTATATATTAAATATCCTATATAAAAATATTAATGTAACAAATGAATTTGATTAAAAGGAAAATTGTAATAATGAAAAATTGAAGATGAGGAAAAAAAGAAGAAGAACAAATCTATTTTAGCAATAAATAAATTATGGTCTTAAACGGAACAGGGCAGGTACTCGCAGGGTAAAAATGTTAAACTGTTACGGGAATGAGGTGAAAAGTTCTTCCGTTTTTGCGATTTTGGGCAGGAACAAGGGTAGAGTTTTTAAAAGGTTACAGAGGTGAGAGAGGGTATACCCGCCCAAATCCGTCTCCGTTGCCATTCCTATCCATATCAAATAATGGAATGAATGAATATTTAGAATAACTTTTGACTAATTATAATCATGGCTCATTAGTCACAAATTCATCATTCTAATTATAAATGCCTATTAACTATTAAGTGGTTATGAATTAATATGAAATGATACTAAAAATGCTTCCTTTATGTCGATGATTGCGCCCATTATTTACGTCAAGTGGACCAACATTAGATAAATTTGTCTCTTAGTTTATATTTTTGGTGAATTTGTCTACTACCTCAAATACCTTAATCATCAACATTTTTGGACATACTTTGATCACCTTTTTGTTAAAATAAAAAATAAAAAATTCAACTTTGTTTTTACATGCTAGCGGCAAAATGATGTGGTCTATCCTACACAATAGTAGCGAGTTTTATAAAATGTACATAAAATTGATTAGTAGCCAGTTGGGCCCACACGTCCGCAAATGAATCATTAGACGCACATTCTTTATCCAGAAGGTTCCTCTAAAAGATTTGCTTACAACCTCAAATAGACATTCTGAGCCTTTTGCAATAAATTGGTACAAAACTATTAGTACAGGCAAATATTTGAGACTGCATGCATTTAAATTTTTTTTTTTATTAGGTTAATGGTGGTGGGAACGGTGTGATATTATGTTGATAATCGTTTACGTTTTAATTTAAATTGTTAGAAAGTTTGTAATTTTAATATTTAATTTTTTAAAAAACTTTTAACTATAGAAAATATTAACATTACCATGTAATGATCCTTGCATCAATGTTTTAAATAGAAATAAAAAAGAAACTTCTTAATTAATTAAAAGCTTAATATATATTTTTCTTCACACCATCTCAAAATTTTTAAGCCAAGAGAGTTTGCCTGGACAATCTTTTTCATTGACTCACTTGTGGAGTGGACTCATTATTGCCATTTTTCAACATGTGTTACATGCTACTCAAATAAATTATGCAGAATTGCACCTACATCCATGAAATTGCACCTATATCAAAATTAACGGACACGAACGTGGGTACGACACGAATATATATATATATATATATTTAAAATCTATAATATCATAAATCTAACTTTCCAAAAAAATATTACAGTAAAAGAAATATTTCAGTTCATCATCTAAGTAATTAAGAACTAAGCAAAGTTATCAATAAAATTAGACAAATAAGATCAAGTAGATTTCCAACATGTTTAGTATTCTTCATTCACCAGTTCATTGCCATAGTAGTTGTTTTTAAAATTTTTCAAAATTTTACTTTTAAACATTTAAATTACATTAGGTACCCTTTTTTTTTTAAAAAGAAATTATAAAATATACCCCATCATATCTAATACGTGTCATCCGCGTGTTTAATAAAAAATAATTTCTAAACATTTCACCAAAATGTCGAATATGTGTCCAATACTGATACAAAACTCTTTGGAAAGGTGTCGGTGTTTCATAGACTTACATTAAGGAGGATAAGTCATGATTTAACACAGATCAAATCATGTACGGTTAGAAAAATGGTCGGTGTTTTTATTATTTTGGTTGAGGATTTTAGTCAGAAAATGGTCAAGAAGGTTGTAATTTATACGTATATCCTGTATCTTCTATAACAGAATACCGATGATCTAAAATCAGCATAAAAAGTGAGCATGTGAATTTTTATATATATATTGGAAAGTTGTATGTGTATTGATTGATAGGTTTTTTTAAAATAAAAAAAATAACAATAAAAATAAAAATAAAAATCTGCATGTCCCTTGTATTACCTCAGCAAAGTCCCATGAGTTTCATATTGGTGTATGTGTATTGATTGATAGGTTTTTTTAAAATAAAAAAAATAACAATAAAAATAAAAATAAAAATCTGCATGTCCCTTGTATTACCTCAGCAAAGTCCCATGAGTTTCATATTGGTGTTTAAAAAAACTAGTTATTTAATTGTAGTAGGTATTGGAGTGGGCCTACTCATATAAATTCCCATTTGTATTCACCTCTGATTAATTAAATAGTTTTAGCAATTGGACTGGGTCCTAGTCACGTATCTATTCACACCGAACAGAAATAAATAAGAGGCATTGCCCACAAATATCTGCCAATTATGTGTGTAACACATCCAATTAGTCACAATCTATCTAATGGGTGGGCAAACTTCAGCTCATTTATTTGATCAAAACACATTACATATATTTGGCCTCATACTGCTCAATCTTCTTAAGATACGTTGTTTTCTTGTCCAATGCTACTAAGAATTTATTGGACCTTAGGATGTGAGTTGATCTGCTGATCATGACCTAACTAGTTACATATTAATGTATATAATTGAATTAATTAAACAATTTTGTATATAATATTTTAGAGAAGAATAATGATTTGACAACGAGTAATTGTCGAATTTAGAGTTCAATTTATGTAAGTATAGTGGTGGTTACCCTATTATATAATGTCATAAATGTAAAACTAAAATTACATTTATCAGTTGTTATTGTTGTTGTTATTATTATTATTATTATCAATTATTTTTTGTTTTAAAAAATAACACTTATCTCCTTTGTAAGCAACGGACGCTTGTACTCAATTTGAAAATTTCTCAAACTTCACCTCCATAGCTTTGGTTTGGTTCATTCAATTGTTGCTCACATGCCAACTGATAAAATATATTAACAACACTTAATTAATTTTTTTTTCCTTTTAAGGCTTCTTTAGCATGATTTGCCCTTCTGTAAACAACCCTTAATCTTATTTCCATGTGTTGATCACGACCTATCTTAGGAGAATAGTCGTATACATATAATATGTATCTATACTTTGTCTATTTACATAACCCACATGTTTGAATGCTTGAATGAATATATAACAAATTAATTAAATAATCTTTAATGAAGAAGAATGTATTATATCTAATGATTGGTCCACGATTCTAAGTTGATTTGAGCTTGGTGACCCACGAAGCAAGGATTGACAGAACCAAACGTAATAATTAAACCATTATTAATGAGCTGGTGAACTGTGGGTTATATTATTTTTATGTAATGTCGAAGCCAATAATGCATCTGATACGTATATAGCACTCCTCAAGTCATAATCAGTAAAGATTACAATGTGATTTTCCTTGAGCATGCCCAATCAATTAATAATATGTATCTTAATAAAACAAGTGGATTGGGACAACTCTATCTCTGTTGTAGACTTCCATCAGACCAGTGATGAAAAATGAATTTATTTCCGACATTCGTTGATGTTTGGTAGTTGTTCGCCCCCAAAGGACTAACAGCAGGAGACTTGTGTTGGAGAGGGTCATCTCGGGATTTGGAGAGAGTCAAATATACACAATTTCACTTCCACATATGGAGCAATTAACCTTATTGAAGTCCACCCCTTGTGCAAAGTTGAATAACATAATAACAATAAAGTATATGATGGACCGTACCAGTATCTGACACATTTTAAGACATTGAAAGGATAGAGAGATACAGATGAACAGATAAATATACCACAATCTATATGGGTTACACTGAAGTGAGCTACATTGATGCGCAGGTTTCTTGCTTTTGAACCACTGAAGGCATAGAATAAACTCATTGATGTTTCATTCACATACGTGTTTCTTGAAAGCTTTACATGACCATTTCGAAAGAGGTCTGCTTAATTGCTTGGATACTAGATGCCCCTTGAAAAAATCCGAGATTGCATTGTCTAGATCCTCAACCTCGTATCTAATGTATTTATTTGAATGCTTTCTGTGCAAACCACGCAAACGAAACAAAAACAATACATAAGTTGGAATCAACCTTTTCAATATGGATAGATGAAGCTCTTCTCGGAGTTGCAAATTAGGAACCAACCATTTTGCTTGAGTCTGATGAACACTTCCGAACATGGCATAGAATCTCTCTAAACTATCTTCCAAAGTAGCCCCTCTAAAACAAAGATACAAACCTTCATTTACATTTAGTGCCTCACTCTCCAAAGGGTACAAGACCCCATCCCAAGTGGATTCCAGATAGTTATTTTTGGCCTCTTGAACTTTTTCCGTCAACTTCTCCAGAAAATAGTTTCCTATCATCTCTTTCAATTCCGCAAAGCCACTGATTTCTTGAACAATGTAGTGAATGTTGTTCATCATGAACAAATGATCCAAGGACTCGTCTACATAGTGCTTGGACTTGACCACTAAATTGAGTTGTAAATGTGCAATGATGCAAATCAAATGGTGTGCCAATGGAGTTTGCTGATCAAGTTCCATGGCTTCCATATCAGGAATCAGCATTGATGGCTTTGATATGATCAATTGAGTTAGGGTTTTCTTGTGAAGACGGATCATACGGTTCATACAACACATTACATATTTAGTCAAGGAGTGAACATCTCCTCTTGGAACCGGAGCTTTTAATTGATCATGAAGCACATCATTTTCAAATTTCAACACGATCCCTCTTGCTGCCTCTGCAAGTTGAGACACAGCCTCAGCTGCTTGATTTCGAATGGACAAAAAGAAATTTGACTCGAAAACATTGTTAAAATCAGGCAAAAGATAAGATAGTGCAGTGTAGAGGTGTAAAACCATGAACAACTTCTTTGGTGATCGACGATCAACACTTACTGCTTCTGCAAAGCTGAATAGAATAACTGCATGATCGTTAACTACTTGCAAGAAACATGCATCAACATAGGCACTCCCAAAATCTTGAAAGATTTGCTCACACAGTTGCTTTTCCTTGACAAAAAGAACATGAACACAAATCTCAGCTGCTTTTATCCACTCTAACACCATGAACTTTGCATTCACAGTGTCCCAATCTAATTCTCTAACGTCACCAACGCTTATTTTTTCGATGCCAAGCTGACAAAAGCTTCTTTCCATTAAAGACTTCCGAGCATTGGCATACAAGTGAATGCACTGGCCGAGATATCCTTCCAAGCTCATCCTTTTAGCAATACTCCGGACACCATCAATGGACTCCGTAGCCAGTGCGTGGTGGTGGTATAGAGATTCATGTCCGGTACTAAGCGAATCCAAATAAGATTTATAACTCGGTGTGTTGTGCAGGTCCAAATGACTAATAGTACTTGATGAACTCGAATAAGTCGTATTGCTCCTATCACTATGTGAACTCTTGGTGCCAGTTAAAATGGATTGAAGCTCTTCCTCAAACCGAGCAAATATTACAGCACGCATGGTGATGTTGGCCCTGATTTGATCTTTGAACATCATCTCTCAATCGTTGAATCTAATCGATGGCTTGCAGTAGTGGATCAATTTCGTTGCGCTTGCACACGAAGATGCGTCCTTTAGTTGAAACCTAGTGCAAGAACAGACAAGAAGTTTTCGGCAGTTCCTATATATGGGCAATGAAGCTTCAACTGCATGTTGATGGCTTGAGAATTATTTGAACAAGTTTAGGACTGGTTCAACTTTAAAGGGTTCAAGTTCTTCTTAGAAATGACTACAAAATGTGATGAATCAATGAAATTTCAAAAATGAGAGTTAAATTATGAAATACAAACAAAGAATAACTATAAAATTCTACGGTGGTGTTGTTTACTATGCACCAAGCCGCAGAGGAGACACACAATAGCTATAGAAGTTCTTTCTCGCACTTGGCATAAATTAGAAATAATTAATCACTACTTACAAAGCAATGAATGGTGAAATCTATGGAATAATAGAATGTCTTAATATAGTACAAAGGTATATAGTAAGGGATCATTGCTTAGTAAGAGTATTTCTAGTTCTAACCCACAAGGGTGAGGATGGCTTTGAGAAACAAAATAGGTGCTGATTCATAACAAAATTTTAACATTACAAATTGCTTTAATCTTGTAAAAATGAATGGACAAGTAGTTTATCCAACAAGCTCTTGACTAAGCTTTGTGAACAAAGTTTGAGTAGATAATAAACTTATGGAAATGAGATTTATATGAAGTATCCACTACTGGGCAGAATGGGATCCATCATCCATCTTATTAAAATGTATGATTTCACTAATTACTAGGCAACCAGAAGACTTGAAGCCCTTGTATTTAGGTTAAGGAGGCCAATGGATACCAGCTGACATATACATAGTCAATTTCTCTAGGAATCAATTGGACCTTATTGTCTTCAAATTTATAGCCATTTAAGTTTACACTTAGTTGCACTTTAATACTCTTGTATTATTAATGTGATGCATAACCCCCTCCACTACACTTTTTATTTATTTAATTATTTATTTTGCATATGGACCATGTTATTGGAGTGCAAGGTTTTTCGGTAGAAAATTTTGCATATGTAGGATGTATTTTCAAAACAAAAAAAAAATTTGTCTCTTCTCACATAAAAATGAAGTTATGTATCTCCAAAGACGGATACAGGATTAAATTTTAGAAGGGGGCTTAATGTAATTGACGAAAAAGAAAAAAATCCCATCCCACTAAAATCTCCTACTGAAATACTACCAGTTTTTCTTTGCATATAACACCCATGACCATAAACGTGACACTTTCTCGTCTTATAGTAAATAATATATTTAATTGAAAACAATAAAATTACATTATTGCCCAATGCGTCACTTTGCCATATTGGTGGTACATACACAAAAGTTGGAGATCGTGAAGAACTCGCGTCCATACAGTGTGAGGGGAGCACTATTCTTCACTCTCCTTACCAAGCCTCGAAATCAGTGAGCTCTTGGTTTCTTTATGCAATATTTAATCGCTATTTATGCAACTTCTTCTCAAAAAAATATTTTTATAAATATTTTCCAAAGCTTTTGTCAGATTCTAGGGTTTTAAAAATTTGGGGTTTTCTCATTTTCATGGTTTCTTTGTTGTAGACAAGAACAATGGAGCCATTTTCCTTTGTTTGTTTCGTCCGACAACCACACTAAGACAAAGCGGTATGTATTCACCCATCTCTCTCTCTCCCTGTCATATGATTTTTTTCTATATTTTGTCAAATATCAAGATTATTCATGCTTAAAATCTCAATTATCTATTACATTAACATAATTCTCAATTGGTATTTCAATTGCCAATGGTATCACATTTTGTTTCTTGAAATCATGATTCCTATCACGTTAACATAATTCTCAATTACCTTATGCTTTGCCATAATTTTTTTCGTGAATTTTGAGTTAGTGATAAAGGCTCCAAAAGTGGGACGGTATTCCACTGCATTTATGTGAGCATGGGGATGACATTACCATCGTGACGATGTCCATGCACTATTCACATAAAATAGTAGTTTACGTCTGTATCATAATTGACTGACAAGGGACAATTGTAGAGATTATAGTTTGTAGGGGTTATATGCATATATATATTTTTTTATAGTACTGGGGGTTTTTGCTTTATTTGTTTTATGTGTGTTAGATTCCACAAGTGCGATGGACCAACACATAAGTTCTCCTGTGTCTACTCCGACGAATCCTTGAGCATCCCTATTGAAGTCTCCGACTGCGTCCCCACCTACAGCTGCCAAACCAAACCCATTGATACTAGCATAACAAAAGATTTCTCTCTCCCATCATATCTTTCATTCCTTTCTCCGTCAATTGCTGCAGGACAAGTAAATGGGATAATTTAGATTTGGAGGTTTTTTTTTTTGGTTGAAGAAAGGAGATGTAGGAGGATAAAATTGGCATCTGAATTAATAACAAGAAAAACTGGAGTACGAGAGGTGGAATTTGGAGTGCTGATATCATAGTCCACATTTTAATTTTCTTTATTAACAGTTTCCTCTCCCTCTCATTGTTGTATAAGATGACGTTTTTCTTCAAAGCTTGAAGTCTCTAGCTCTCTACTCTTATTATTTAAGCTCTCTCTCTCTCTCTATATATATTCCCAGCACAACCAAACAAAAACAAAATTAGTTCAAATTAATATTGGACCTAGAAGAATATCTGTAGACTTTAACTTAGTAATACAAGGAAAGCAAAATGTAAATTTGGTAACAAATTACTAAAAAACATGCTTCCAGGCCAGAAGAACTGAACAAATGATCATTGCCATTCTTATAAGTAGCTTTTACTTGATCTTGCCAAATACTTGAAAGCCGAATTGACGGAGACTACAGCACCGGAATGCTCCACCAAACTGAATTATTGTGTGTGGAGTTCTAGCTCATAGAATTAATTATTCACCCTTTCCACCATTATGAACGAGAGTGGTTTAAGTGCTTGGATACTGGATCACCCTTGAAGAATTCTAAGACCATAAGCTCAAGATCCTCAACCGAGTACTTGATCTACTTCTTTGATCATTTTCCATACATGCATTTCAAGAAACCAATCCAGAAATGATTTGTAAGTCGGAATCAACTTCTGCAATATAGATAGATGCAGCTCCTCCCAGAGCTGCAAATCCGGTACCAACCATTTTACTTGAGTCTGATGAACAGTTTCAAACATAGCATAGTATATCTTCTTAGCCTTTCTTTCAAAGTATCCCCTGTAACAAAAAGACAACAACCTGCATGTAGTGACTCGTGCTCCAAAGTGTACAAGACACTATCCCAAGTTGAATGATAGTCATTTGCTGCCAGTTGAACATCTCCTTTTAACTGGTCCAAAAAACAGTCTCCCACATTTCCCTCAGTGACGCAAACTCATCAACTTTTTGAAAAATGTAGTGGACATTGTTCATCATGAACAAATGAGCCAACGAGTCGTCATTGCAGTACCCGGTATTGACTTGCAATTTATATGCCTAATGATGCAAATCAAATGGCGTGGCAACAGTGCTTCCCCTTCAAGTTGCACGGATCCGGTATCAGGACCTAAACCCGTAAATGGCTTTGATACGATCATCTCACTTGGGATTTTCTTCTGAGCACTGATCATACGAATCACATAACTCATCACAAATTTACTCTAGGAGTTAATAACCCCTCCATCTATCGGAACATATAATTGATCATAAAACACATTTTTTCAAAATTTAACAGAATCCCACTTGCAATATTATCTCCACAGCGGATTCAAATGAGCTGCCAACGTTTTCTGCAAGTACGTTCCATTGAAAGCAATGAAGCTTCAAATGGATCTTAAAAGCTTGAAAATTATTTGATGATCAACTTTAAGAGTTTGGCTCAAACTTGAAAGTTGTTCAAAATCTACCTACGAGTGTTTTAAAACTTGAAGTTAGTGAACTGGTGAAGTTTTATGAATTAGACTTCAATACATATAGTTCAAACGAAAATAACAAGGATGATTGTAAAATTGTACGGAGTTCCACTAAGCGGTGGAGGAGAACACTCCTAAATGGATTTTCCCGGAAACCAAACGGAACTTTCTTTAGTTTGAGTCTTGGTATTGTCGTATATATTTTAATTTGCTTTAACCATGTGAAAAAGCTGACTTATATCTTAAAATTAATTAATTAGTCTAGCATTCAACAAGTTCCTCCACTAAGCTTGTGAACAAAGACTGAGTAGGCAACAAAGATATAATACAAAAATGACTAGGAGACGAGGTTTATATAAATTACTGTCAATTGATGGGCAGAATCTTGTTGCCATTGCAATAGATGTAAATTCTCTTTAGGCAACTAGTGGACTTCTGTACAGTTTAGAGGGCATAACTGGATACTATCTATCACCGATCATAGTTTATTAGTACTTTCTCACTTTCTGAAATAATAAAATAAAAAAAGAAATAAAAAAACTAGATTCCATCTTACTTAAAATCTTATCGTAGTCATCTTCACGAGGACAATTTCTATAATTGGTACTATACACTATACCGTATTGGACTTCACTAAGACTGATTTGCGAGTGTGTAACAGCCATTCGCCCAAAAGTACTGAAACTATTCCTTAATTGGTGATCATTAGAGAGAGAATTACTATTAACTTATACAGTTGTGGCAATGATTACATTTTGGAAAATGATATTTATGCCCATGACCGATTTCCTAGGCAGAATCTTAGGTGGCGTCTAGCTGGCAAAAAGAATGTGCGTGTAGCCAAACACCCTTCATCTTCTTCACAATTTCAGTCACCAAACTGCGGCTCACCTACGTCGAGGACACGGCAGCCTCTGCAACACTCCCTCGGCAATAGAGAAGAACCAGTCGATGGCAAAGGACCAAGCAATCAGCCCCAAACAAAGACACAGATCACAAAAACAGTCACAAATGGCAATTACACAACCGACGACAACTGGTGACAGCAGCAGAGGGGTCGTCAGTGGGATAAACAGCACTATTAGTCTCTGCAAACTTCTCGGCGACTGGAAATTGAAGGTCGTCGGTGAAAAAAAATTGGCAATCGACTCGGTTCCTCTCTGCGCAAAAAACTCTGTTCCGAGAGAGAGATTGTTGAGGCGATCCGAATGACAACAAAGATGAGAACAATGGAGAACCGAGGCCCCTAAACAGCGAAGCCCCAAACAAAAAACAACCAACAACAAGTGATGGCTCCGCCGGTGGCAAATAGCGATAGCGCGATCTCTGCAAAAAAATTTTTAATCGCAACCCAAGCTCGCCGACGCACGGCGATCTGAAATATCAAGATCGGAAAACAAAAAAAATCTGATGGCAGTTTAACACATTAAAATCTCTGCACCTCTTCAAGCAAATCAAGCCCACAAGTTAGTCCAGCAAAATCCCTTTTCTTTTCCTTTTTTGTTAGTTGTTTGGCAGCCTTACCCGCTTTATTGAAGACAAAAAAGAAGTTGCTTACGGGGATTGCTATGTCTATTCTGCCAAACCAATTGGCCAAAACCATCGCCCATCTATCTCAACCCTTACATTTTTAAATATGTGTAAATTAGTCGTCAGCTACACACATTATTTAATTCGGGTCACTCACTTTGATCGCTAGGTCATTCGTGTTGTGTTGGGTTGTATTTATTTATTTCCGTTTAATATTATAATAGTAATTTTCTGTTTTAAGAAGTGGGTGTCAGTTTGTAATTATTAAAAAGTTTATGGGTTAAAAGGCGGGATCAGATTGTAATAAAACAAAAGTTTGTAAAGCCCAAATCGATTGTTGCAATCTGACGAGAGAAAAGAAGAAGAAAGAGGAACGAACTCCGTTATAGCCGACCAGCAAGAAGGCAGCACCAGAGATCACACGAGCCATCTACAAACAGGTACATATTTTTTTGGTCTTTCAAATTATAGGGTTAGGGATTTTCTTCTTCTATCCTTTTCATATTCAGTTTAGGGTTAGAGCTTCTATATTTTACTGTGTATTTTCTTTACAATCCCAAATTTGAACTAGGTTTTGAGTAATTTTAACTTGAGTTGATATTTATATAAATAATATGCACGACTGTTTGTGTTTTTTTATTTTTTTATTTGAACTAGGTTTCGAATAATTTTAACTTGGGTAAAGATGTACTCACTGCTCTCTTAGAGTTTAATTGAAGAGGGCTGCTGTTTTTGGGTTTTATAATTGTGTGTGTGTGTGTGTGTGGGGTTTGTTTTTGTTTTTTGTAATGGAACATTTGTGATATGACTTGGAAATTAAAGAGGGCTGCTGACTGACTTTTTGTGGGTGTTTTACCATTTTTTGTAATGGAAATTATGCAACAGATGACTTATTTAATCTAAGATGATGCATGGTTTAGGTTTTTTTGGTGCTTTTTTTGTGATGGAAAATATGACTTTTTTTTGCTAAGCTGATAAATGGTGAAGTTTTATTTGCTGATAGCTCGTTTAATGTGTTGTGAAATGAACTCATTTGTTCTATTTATTTGCTTCTTTATATATGAACATGTTAATGGTTGCATGTAGATTCGTAACATTATAGAAAACTGATATAAATTAATTTGTTTTTTGTATAAAAAAAATATATTGTCTTTCTTTATTGCCATGATATCCTAATTTTTTGAGATTTGTCTCGTATTCGTGTCGTGTTGTATTTGTATCCCATATCCGTGCCGTATTATTTGTGTATAGTTCTTCCACTCTTTTGACGTCTTCATCTATTTCGGTGATTTTGGTTTTTGTGATTTCTGGCAATACTTCCATTTTCGAATTTGAATTTTTTACTATCTCTAAAATCTCTTCACCCAAACGAATATGTTCTCAACATAAAATTGTTATTTCATTTTGAAATCTTTCATTTCCTTTTTTATTTTCAAATCCCAAATTTAAAAAGATTTGGTTTGGAACAGATCAATCAACTATATCAAGACACCAAAAGTTATACATGGTGCAACACTTGAACTTAGCACACTTGTTTTGGCTTCACTGCCAGCAATGTAAATTCAACAAGAAGTGTTCAAGCACAATCTTCAAAATGAATAGTGTCACATTAACTCCCTCAATCCTAACCATCCCAAGACCTCAAGCTTGTACCATGGTACACATAATATCATTATAAATATAATTAACCATATCCTGACAATGGTTAACAGATAATAACCACGCCCATATCCTGACAACAGGCTGGAAGTTATAAAAATATATAATAGCCATATCCCAACAATGGCATGTCATTCATATATAGACAATGGCCTGACATAGAATGAGTCTAAACTTAATAGTCAGCTCATTCCCAGTATGCCTTCGTATCTTGACAATGGTGCGCACATAGGACCAAATCCTGACATTAGTCCTCTAACAAATCCAAGCATATATATATATATATCTATCATGTTTTATGATTATAAAATATAGATATGCAATTGATTATAATCATATCATATCATATCATATCATACCAGCACATAACATATAATTTCGTGTTATCAAATCACAGGAATTGCTTATAATTTATTTAAGCTCTTACATCATTCATCTCATATAAACTGAATCTTAAGCATGCTGATATTTTATTTTTATAGCCAAGTAAGCATTCTCCAAATACATCACATGCTAAACATTTAATCTCAATTATTAAAACAAATTAGAAGATTAAATCTATCTATTTTTTAAATAATTCAAATTGCATGCATCGTTGTGTTCAAGACCTCAAGCCTATTTAAAGTTCACTTAAAATCATCCCTAATCCCTATTTAGTATTCGGGACCTTAAATAATCAATTTGGGGTCAATTTAAGCATTTTTATCAAAATTCCCCATAAGGTGCTCGAGCACACATTGTTTCGCCGAACAGTATGCTTGAGCACTCTAACAGTGTGTTCGAGCACTGTTTCGTGAAAGAGCCCGAGAAACCCAATTTAAGCCATGTTCTTCATTGTTAAGGGTCTTAAAGCATCTTACTAAGTCTTTTCAACACACAAGCACGAAAATGCATCAGTATAACATGTAGAAATCCATTAAAAATCAGATCTAAACCATGAATTTATCAATTCATAAAACAAGAACAACCGTGAACATAAACTCATAAAAATCTATATTCTAGATCAATTTAAACATAGATTCAGATTTTAATAGTTCTTTAATCATTCCTAAAGTTATACTAGAGACATATAAATCACAGATATATGGGAGAAGTGTAGAACGGAGAACTTGTCTTTAACTTTCAGATCGAAGGCTAAACTCCTTCTTCCTTGTTCTTGTTTTCTAATGATCTTTCTTCTTCTTCCTTCTCTCTCTTCCTCTTTCTCTCTTTGGCTTTCTCTTTTTCTCTTTCTAGATCTACTCTCTATGTATATATATATATAGGTAAAATATACTACCTATCTTCTAAACCTAGCATAGGTCTGACAATTCACAAACTAAGTAATTAATTTAATGAAACATTATTTTTAATGAAAAATAATATACACACACACACACACACACACACACACACACTGAAGATGCAAGAAACTCCTTCTATTCTTTCTCTCTCTAGAATTCTTACACCTCAACCCGAATAAAGATCCCTCTCCTCTTCATTCCTACTCCTATTTATAGATACTTACCAGATATTTACAAGATATTTACAAGATATTTACTAATTGCTGGACCTGGGCCTATTCCTCTGTAAGCCCTGGTCACCCTTGATGGGCTTACTCCCGCTCGGCCCATATGGCAGTATCTTTCTATGGGCTGACCCAGCTGTTCGGACTGAAGGTTGTGTTTTGCGAGTCGGACCTGGCCCATGTCATCCAGGGCCTCCTCAACTGCCCCCATAATTGCCCCTTATTTAATAAGGGGTAATTATTGATGGCGTCTCATCATGACGCTGACGGCTCGAGATAACCACGTGGGGGAGCGAACGGTCAGATCCAAAATCAATGTTCCGGGGTTCGAGGGATTTCTTGCCTTCCCGACGCTTCGGCCCTCGGGCCCCCTTGCCTTTATAATGCTCTAGAATTCCACTTCACTTCCCTTTACCGTCTCCATCATCAGCCAAATCTCCCTCTTTCTAGAACTGTGCTAAGCCTTTTCCGGTGAAATCCTTCGAGAGTCATTCTCCCAGCGATCTTGCAGTCCTCCGAGGTTAGTTTCGTTCTTTTTACTTTCGGCAGGCTTCCATTTTCCCTCTTTTAGATTCTTCTTGCACTTCCACCATGGTTGTAGATCTGGGTGTTCTTCGTATGAGACTTAGACTTCCTGACAACATCGAAGTTAGGGTTTGCCCCCAAGACGTTAATATTACGACCGGCGCCGGCCTCCTGCCCGGCGAAGTCTTATTCACGAACCTTCAACTGAATGTTGTTAGGTTCCCTCTGCACCCTTTCTTTAGTTACGTCTTCAACAGATTGGGGATATCCCCTCTGCAGGTCAACCCCAACTTCTTTAGGATCATATCTGTTATGCTCTTATTGATGCGTGACAGAAATCTGGACCTTGACCTCATAGACCTCCTTCTGTGCTATAAGGTCAGTAAGATCCGTACTAACGAGCCCTTCTACCACCTCTACCCGTTCGAGAAGATGTCCATATGCACTGACACAATAAAATCTGAAAAGGGTTGGAGGGATAGCATAGTAGGTATTAGTGGGGCTTGGTCTTCGCCGGCTGCAGAGGATTACCCAATCCCGAGCGCCTTTGGTGTCTGCTCTGTCTCCTCCTATAAAAAATTCAAATCCCATAAACACGACTGCCCCTGTGAAACATGCGTTCCTCGTTTTTGTACTTACTTATGCCGCTCCTTGGGAATACCTTGTGATGACTTGAGCTACAGTGTTTGCAGAGATAGGAGTAACTACTTGAAGAGATACGTTCTGAACGATATTCCTTCCTGCTCAGATCTCCTCACTTCAGACAACCTTTTTGCGCTCTCATCACTCGGCTACAATATGAGCAGACTGCAGATTCCCTCTTTTGGCAGGAGGAAAAATACTCCCCCAGCCATTCCTGCTGCTGGCGCGACCTCCTCTCCAGCGTCGGCTTCTTCTTCAGCCACCATATCTGACACTGTCCCGAGCGCAGTGGCTACTAACCCTGTTGCCAGCGCCCCTGCTGCCAACCAGAACGCGCCCTCCCCAGCTACCATAGCTCCTGCTGCTGCGGGGGGCGGTCGGGACAAAGAGCGAGGCAAAAGGCCTCATCCTGACAGTGAAATCGACCCTGAGGAGGAGCCTCTTATTAGAAGGACCCGAGTCTCTGGGCCGGGTACTCTCTTGCACCGAGCGATCAGAGCTCCTTCTCACTCTGGGCCTCCTGCAGCTGGTGGCTCTGCTTCTGCTTCAGGCCCCCCTTCTATCCCCAGCTTACCGCCATGGGCCCCTCGGTACACTCGAACGGATGGGACGTTCGTGAAACCGAACGAGACCATGCTGAAGGATGGCCAGACCGCTATGGCCTACTACAGGAGCATGTGGACTCCGAAGGACATTGAGGCGGCAAAGGGCCTTTCCCAGAAGGACGTGTTCAGTCGCTTTCCCCAATCTGCTATGGAGGTGACTTTTATTTTCTAACTCATGAATTCTCTTATATTACTTGGTCTTGCCTTCGCCCGTTCTGACTATTGGTTTAACCGTTCTTATTGTGCACCTATGCAGACATTGTTCGGGATGATGGCCATGCAGAAGCAGGTGGAAATGGGGAACGCCAGGGCCCGAAAGTATTCTGACAGCCTGGAGGTGGCTAATAAAGAAAACGACCTCCTTGCCATGAAGAATACCGAGGTGCTGGTTCGGCTTGACAAAGCCGAGCAAGAGAGAGATGTCCTGAAAAAGGAGAATGATTCCCTTCAGGATGAGAAGGACGCCCTCCAGCTTGAGAAGAGCGTCTGGCAGACTGAGCAGGAATCACTCAGAGAAGAGAAGGCAGAACTCCAACGTCTTCTAGCTGATGAACAGTCTGCTCGGATGGCTTTTGAAAAAAGAGCTCTGGACGAGCGTACCGCTCTGATCGACGCTATCAGCAGAGTGGGTGGTGGGATGCTGGCCCTTCACGCTCGGTTCTCCAGGGTCGGTGCTCTTCGGTATGCTCAAGGATTCCGGGAAGGTTTCGCTGACCGGGTTCCGGATGAGGGACAGACCAGCTCCACTCCGGATGAGGTAGACAAGGATCTGGGGATCGAGCCTCTGGGGGTCTATGTCGACCCAGAACCCACCGAAGCGGAACGTATATTTGATGAGTGCCAGGACATCGCATCCTCAAGGATCATCACAGCTCCTCCTACCGCTCTGCCACTGACCGCTCCCCAATCGTCAACCGTGGCTCCCTCTGTAGCCACTGCTGACGCTGAACCCCAGCCGAACGACTCAGTTATTCACCTGGATTCCC